ACCCTGCCCCCCTCCCCTTCCCCTCAACATCGTCAGCAGTGATGTGCAGCTCGTACTCGACAACATCCTTCGCCTTCAGTGCATGGGATTGGAGCAGGCGGCAAAGATACTCAAGGACGCGGCGGCCCAGCAGGGACCGTACGAAGATTGAAGAGCTGAAGAGCAGCGCGCTCTGTACAGCGGAAAACCCTTTGTGGAGATTGGATTGTTTGGATGCTTTGCGCACTAATTCAGAGAAGAGATTTGACAATGGACGGAGTCTGGCCCGACCGGGCCCTGCATGCTTGCTGCCGAAAGAAGCTGTGTGCAAGTCTGCTACAAGCTTGGCGTCTTTTTCGCATAGCCTGGAACGTGAAACCGCAGCGGGGCAGCAGCCCGGCGGGACCTTTAAGAACATAGAAACACACACACGAGCGCTTATTCGTGCATGGGATAGCGATGCCAGCGTCGCAGGACCGTGGAAACAAAACGTATGGCTCACAGGACAGCTTTGGCTGTTTAATGGTTCCGTTTCTCATCACTGAACCGACCGCAGCACTTGTTACATGTGACATGATGTTAGGCGGTTTCACTGCTTTGTCAGCTGTACCTAGACCGTTCCGTGATATCCTTCGACAGGAAGAAGATGCAAATGTTCTTTCAGCATGCCAACGATGATGATGTTCCTCGGACGGACATGCCAAATCATCACCATGACGAAAAAGCTTGCATTCAACTCCAAGGACAAGGTCCTTTCGCCCGATGAGTGGAGGGAGGTGCTTGCAGAGGAGAAGGCCACCGCTGCCCCTCGAAGACCGTAAAGATGGACGAGTAAGCAGCACAGTACTTACTGTCGGAATGTCTCCCACCGGTGGCAGGTGAAGCATTGGTTTGCCGCGCAGGGTTTGAGCATCTCTGATCCTGACCTCTTGTGGGACATTCTAGCCCCTGGTCAGAAATCAAGACGGAACTAGTGTCAGACTCGGCTTTGGAGTCGAGCATTTCGCCCGTCACTCGAGGACACCTCGGGGGACAGGGAGCTCGACTTGGAAGAGCTGATCCAAGGCCTGGGAAAGCCGGGGAGAGAGAGACTGCGAACTGGAATCCCGGAAGCCTCTCGCGGCCAGGAACTGCTCGCTTGCAGGGCTTCAGCCCCAGCCTGCTTTTCGTCCTCGGACTTAACCCAACGGCGACTTTCTCAGGACCTGCCCGAAGCCTTGACCTGGCCGTGCTCAAGATGGAGCACTACCGCACTTTGGGCGCTGTGAAGGTGACTTCGCTTCTGTACAGCCGTCAATTTCACAAGAGACAAGCCACTATGCACTCTGCCGTGAGCGCTTTCGCCTGACTCGGTTGTCTACCGAGTTTAACCTTAATGCCGAAAAGGTGTGAATTATGCGGTGCCACTTACTTATACATCTGCAACCGAAAGCCACAGTTCACGCCTCACAAACGCATGCACCAGTTGGAAATGGACAGATCTCGAATAGATTCAAAGCTATTTCTTCGTAAAGCCTCACTTCTTGCGCATGGCTGTGGAAAGGACATCCGGACTTCCGTGGACATGCTCCGGCAGCAGGTTAACCTGCTGGTCAGGCGAGGATAGCCCTGTGCTAAGCTGTCATCTCCACATTGCTCTGGTTCTGGCAGCATTTGCACAGGAATTCATTGGATGTTGCTGTCACCTTCGACGCTTGAGCTGGGCAGCTTTCCAGTCCGCGTGCGGCAGTAAGTCAGTAGGTGTGGCTTATCATGGGTTCAAAGTAGTCTGGGAAATGTGGAAGGTGGAGGCGCATCTGGTAGAGCACAGGTCATGATCATGGTTCAATGTAGTGTAGCTTGTATTTCGGGGCTAGACGGTCGTGCGACTGTCAAACAGCTGCTTGACTGCCAGCTTCACAAGCCGGTAGCAGCCTTTAGTTTAAATTGCCGCAGTCCTCGGCGGAAGTTGTTTCCATTATCCGGTATCATGGCAGATGTTACCTCCACAACTCGCTCGACTTCGGGCAGTCACAATCAGGTATACTTGGAAGTGTGGCGGAGGCAAAGCTCGGCGTTGCTCCAACGAAGTTGGAAAACCCGGTCAATTGCTAAACGGCATTGGCCGTCTCGCTTAGAGGCTTAGAGTATCTACACGCATAGCGTGCCGGAGCCTAGTGTGGAGTTGGTGACCGCTCGGACATCGAGAAACCAAACTGGGCGGCACATTGTGTGTCCAACTGGGCCAGCACAGAGGTTGTGTAGCGTTGGTGCCGTACCCTGGGTTAGGGAGCGTTCAACAACATTTGTAGCATCATGGCCTCCAAAGTCAATGATGAAGATCTAGCCTGGCCGATGTTTCAAGGCCATGGAGTCCGACGAAAGCATGATGTTGCAGAATTCCTGCGAGACGTGCTTGCCTTATGTGTGGGTGAATGAATGAGTGACAGGGTGTCAGTGTGTGTGTGTACTTCACTCGACCGGCTTTGTAGAAAGATAGCCGATATCCGCATAGATGTTGTCCTGTCGCCTAGGCTCGTTTCATTGGTGCTGCCTGCTGCATTGCTGAATCTGTGGCACTAGCAACTTCCATGCATAGCTACTGCAGCGGCACGACGTTTCTGACAGCAGCTCATCCTGTAATGGTCTATAGAGGTTTGAAGCCACGCTTCTCTTGCCAGGTAGAGCGATCTCCGTCGCAGGTTATGGAGGCGTGGTGCATGGCGCAGCATGCAACTATATGCAACTTGCACATGCAGTGCTCGCTCTTGACATCGTCGGGCACCAGGCCGGGCTTTTGGAGCCTTTGCTGCGCCTCGTCGAGCGCCTGCTTGGCCCAGACCTCGAGGCCGCGAACTGATAGCATATATCGTGTCCTGTTTTCGTGCACCACCTTCATCATGGTGCCGCGGTGCCCTTCCCGAAAGACCGACTGAGACAGATTTCAGCCGAAACATGCCGAAACTCACAATGTGTTTGTGTGGGTGTTTGTGCAAAGAAGGGTGGGCTTTTCCTATCTTATCCTACGAAGATGCGAAGCCCATTGTAAACATGCAAGGGCAAGGCGCAGGGCCACCGGTGGACAAACAAACCCCTATTTCTGGGTTTATTTTAGCACCAAAGCCGACGAAGATTTTTGACGGTGCGACACGCAACACGCTCCCTTGACGGCAACTCGCTTTTGGTTCAGGACGACGCTTGCCTCTACGTCGGGCTGAGATCTCAGCATGTGCGATGTGCAATATGCAATAGTGGTTCAATAGTGAACTCGACGAATGCTGACGATGACTGCTCCGGGTCCGGCTGAAAGTGGTTGTCACAGTGGAGTAGGACAGGCTGACGTGTAAGAAGGGCTACACCATATTTTCCCGCGTCGATCAGCGACGGTTTGGGCTCGAGACGCTCAATCCCATTGCAAGCTAATTAGACTCCATTTTGCAGGTTTTGTCAAGGCACGTGACAGCTAGAAATCTAACCTCAACCTGTGGGTTCTCGACAGACGACGAAGCCGCACTCTGTCAAGAATTTCTCAGCGAGCCAGCCAGCCTATTCTGCCACCCGCTCAAGGCCTCCTTCGCCCAGACAGTACAAACCGAGCAAACCATGGCTGCAGTGCGCCTGCTTACGTTTAACATCTGGTTCGCAGCGCACGAGATGAGATCTCGAATGGAGGCCTGCCGCTGCCGCAGCAAAGCGGTGCTACTTAGAGGTCATGTCACAAAGCAGCATCCGCAGCATTTTTGCGGGTACACATGCCAATTATGTGATGAGCTCCCAGCACTGATTCAGTGAGTCGATGCGTGTATTACAGGCCATCGGAAAGATCATCGACCAGAAGAGTCCAGATGTCATTGCACTTCAGGACCTTTTTTGAGCTTCACTCGTGCTGTCAACCGCTTGCTGCATGCAGAATGCTGTGCACGGGAATGTCGTTGGCAGTGTAATGCCGTGGCTACGTCGGCTACGTAAATGCCCTTAAGGAGTTTGTTGGGCCACTCAGTCGAAATAAATTCAGCCGCAGGAGATGACAGCAGAGCACTGGCAGGAATGCGCTAGCCTTGGAGAGCACCACTCTGCAACGGACATTTGCCGAAGGGCCTGCACGCCACAGTTGTTTTTTGCATTGCATGTATCAGTCGATGCTCCGGATGGACACGGTGAGCAGGAATGGTGCGGGCAGGTTTGCAGGCGAAGGCTTCTTGCGGAGGCTTGCAGAGCGAATCATTCCGTCGCTACTTCTGGAGCTCAGCACCACCGCGGGGGTCTCGGACTGATTGGATCCAACCGGCAATAAAGCCAGCAGATTTCGGCAGCCTGCAGATGGCACCCAAGGCAGCGATACTTTACGATGCTGGGAAGCCGGCTGCCGATGAAACAGGAGCCAGTGAGGCATCCATTCAAGGCTGGATTCAATCATGAAGCAGTACCGACGCCCATGACATCCCATGACGCGATTCCGAAAGATGCCCAAAACTGCCTGCAGCGAGACCGGTTGACTACCGCATTGAAGCTCAAAAGAGTCCTCAGGCGAGCCGAATGCAGCGAGACCTGCTGATGGTGACTGCCGCTTGGCTGTGAGGGCTACCGAAGGGTTCCAGTAGCGGCCAGGCGCTGACAGTCTCAAGGACTCTCTGTGGCGGTTTGGAGGCCTATCGTCCTGGCTCACCGCGTAAATCTGCAGCCGGCCCGCGTCACCACCCTTTCCTCCCTCCATGTAAAAAGAAAAAAAAACGTACAGTCTCGGCGAAGCGTTCCAGTGGTTCTTGCCCGTCCCTGCACGGCCCGAAGCCAAGGTGGAGCCACCAGAGCTCCCGCCGCTGACATTTGCAACATCGCATTTGGAGTCCCTGGATGAGCACAAGGAAAAGCAGTTGACAGTGAGAGGGCCTTGGGCCAGCTCTGCCCAGTCGTGTTGAAAGTGCAGGCTCGTCGCGTGCAGATAGACGAGAGCTTGTCGCGCTTGGCAGACTACCAGGATGCCGTGTTCTGTGTCTTGGCCAGTACCTCCGCAGATCACACAGAGTGCTTCCGCCCAGTACTATCACTCGACTTCGCAAATGGTACTTCCCGTATCACTGCCGAGGTGGGGACACGAACATCAATGAAGCCATCGACGGTAACGTCAAGCTTCCGGGAGAGTGGAAGGACACTGTGCCAAGAACTTCGCGACATCGGGCCCTGTCGGGTCACATGCAAGTCTGAGGATGCATGGTTGGTCCTCAAGCCAGATGATCCAGGCGGGCAGTCTGGCAGCAGTGCGCGATAAGTCAGCTCTGGACCTGCGGCTCATCGTAGTGCGAAGATGTTATGCTTGATGTGAGCCGCGATCGCAGCAGATATGTCGGCTGCAGCGTGTTTTCAGCGTTCCAGTTTTTGTCAGCACATGGGGTTCGGCAACTGCTTTGGTTGTGCAACGTGCATTGATGGCCTGCTTCGAGGCTACACTTTCGACGTGGAGCGGAACCGCCCAGAACTTGTATGGTTGTTATTCGGGAGCCAGATTTCCTGCATGACACGTAGTAGGTGCTCGCAGTATGCTTCTGCCCCTCTTTGTTTTCCGATCCATCGAGGCATGATGGGAGCCAGCGACGGCTGGGCTCGACGTAACAATGCTCGCCTACGCTTCGATCGATTCTGGACCAAGGCCTGTGGGAGTTGCTGACTATGCAATGTAAGTTAAGCTTCTGTTACCAAATCATGCTGCATGATTTAGGCGTGTCAATTGTGCTAGGGTTTCCATGGAGTGCAGCGACCAGATCCCAGACCCTTCACGCTTCCTGCGAATCAGATGACCAACTATGCAGCAACAGAGATAGAGCTCCTGGACGAGCCCATCAAGGACTGTCAACTGGTTGCCGTCACAAGTTGCGTGCAAGCTTGGCTCAAGTGCCTGGTAAAGGAGGATCTCTGGCCAAGCGACCATTTCGGACTGCTGCTGACTCTGCAGGCCTCGCTTGATGGAGGCCCCAAATACTGGGGGCCCGTGTATCCGCAGACAGGCACCTTGCTTAGAGGCTTTGAGGTCACCCCTAGGGCCCTAGAATACCGGCATTCTAAGCTTCCAAGGGTGCTTTCTCGGTTTGTTCCTTTGCGGCTTGCTCGGAGAAAGCCTCGCGGCGAGGAGTGGCGCCGGAATCGCGGAGACTTGAAATCTGACAGCTGCACCGCCGCATAGTTTGAAAAACGGATTGATGCGGGCTTGAAGTACGCTGCCGATGCATCGAGTAGTTGCCGCTAGTCAGCTGGCATGTGTGAAAATGAAGCTCACTTGACCGGTGCGTCGTCGTTTTCATATGACAGGCAAGAATCAGGTAAGCATTCTGTACAAGAGCAAGAGGAGTGCACGACTACAGCCTCATCTTAACCACCTTAACGTCTTGTTGGAGCTGGTAGAGTTGCGCTGTGGCTGCCAATGCTGCTCATGGTGTGAGGCTCCTTCCCCACCCTTGCTGAGGTCGCTTGCCATGCTTCTCTTTGCTCAATTCGGCACGGCACTGAGCCCCCCCGTAAATCTCGTGGCCCATCCTTCTTTCCTTGAGACTTTGCATCTGTCGCTTCAGACGTGTGAATATGTTTGAATCTGCGAGAGAGGGTATGTACTGAATCTACAGGAAGCCTCTGCAACGCACCCTCAGCCTAGGCCGTGTCTTGCCCGGGCCACTTCAGGCTTGGCATGGCGCTAGCACACTGCCAGTGCAAAAAAGTGCGTAGAGAGATTCCACAGCTCAGGTGGGGCTGTTGCGGGCACTGGTGACGCGGCTCGCAAGGGCTGAACGACCCTACCTCCGCCAGGAGTGGCTCAGACGCGAGCCTGCCTGCTGCAGCGTTTGTGGGCTCTGACCGCTGTGTTCGCCCGATTAGAGTGCTGACGCCTTGTCCGTGGCCCAAAAGGAGCTGGTCGTGGTCTGCGCTCGCCTCCTCCACGAGGTCGCATCGGCCTGCAAAACGTTTCAAAGTATGTTACGGCAGTTGAAGGGTACGCTGTGAACCTCGAACAGTGCATCTGGATCGACTGCAGGACCTGCATGGTGCAACCTCAGCCCTTGCAAGCATTGAGGCAGCACCCTCAGCCAGTCAAAATCACGCATCATGTTATTTAGGTGTCATTTCTCATCCCGATCCTTGACAGACACAGAGATTTATCAGACTGCTGGGGATGGGCGCCTTCCTGGACATACCATCGTTATCGGCCCCGAACTACCAACCTGACCTCGCATCGAAAGCATAGGCCGTCTCTACGCTGACTCAGTACGTCTTGAAGCAAGTCTTGCGGTGGTTAGCCGTGGCTGTCGCTACTGCTTCGGCAGCGGACTTCTTCTGCTGCTGCTGCTGCCGCTGCTGCTGCTGCTGGCTAGTGCTCGTCGTTTGTGGTGGCATGGTGGCAGTTGTGTGGGGTTTGGTGATTGATTCTGCTGTGCTGCTGCTCTTGCAGAAGTGCCTACAGTAGCACAGTGGTCGTGACCGTGGTTGTGTTGCTTGTTGTGTTTCCTGCTGCTGCTTTGTTTGTTGCGATTGTGGTTGGGTTGGGTCATTGGCCTTGGCAGTGGCCTAGGGCACGGCATGTAAAGGCATGTGCGTAGCCCTCACGTGCTCCCTGTGTCACGAACTTCTTGTGATTATTGTAGATGCAGGTCCAGCTATGTGAGGCAGTACGGTGCACTGTTCCAACCCACCTGGCCCCATTAAAGTGATGAGCTGGTTCCTTTCCCGGTCTGGAGGGGGACATGCGCACAGGGGCTTGAGTCGTGTGCTCGAGTGTGTGGGTGTCTGCACCCTGTAGCTGTCATCATCACCACTCTGATTCGCTACCACTACAATTATTGAATTGCTGCAATGTTTAGTGATAAAGCTACTTAATTTTAATGCCTCATGCGTCAATGAACCTATGTGCCTATGAGAAGAAAGCACCTATACTGTACAGGTTGTGCGCAGGAAGTGGCTCATTCGCAAATCGCGGTTGGACAGTAATCTTTTGCATGAGCGGTCGACACGATCTGCATCTTTATCTTGGCTTTGGCTTCTTTCGCACTCTGCATGCTGCCCGCTGAAGTGCTCGTGAGCTTCAGTTTGACAGCCTGCAGTGCACTTATCGTCACTCTCCGAATGCAGCTTGCGTTCGGCCTCAAGCGAATCACAACCACAACCACGACAACAACGACAACAACAACAATAACAACAACAACGGCAACGGCAACAGCAACAACTACCGCTACCACTACCGCTGCGACTACTACAAGGTGCATGCCTGAAGGCGTCCCGCATATGCTACAGGCGTCCCGCGAGGGGCGACACCTTGGTAAATACAATAATTTCACATGTATTGGATCTTATCGACTTAGTTACAATCGAGGCGTCTCGTTGCCGAATAGGTTAGGATTGTGTTCGCTTGTAGTACAACTCTAGTACTGGAAATGCCTCGTTTCGGCTCCTGGCTGAATTGTGCTCGCTTGTAGTACAACTTTAGTACTGGAAATGCCTCGTTTCGGCTCCTGCTGACTTGTGCTCGCTTGTAGTACAACTTTAGCACTGGGAATGCCTCGTTTCGGCTCCTGGCTTGATTGTGCTCGCTTGTAGTACAACTTGAGTATTGGAAATGACTGGAAATGCCTCGCTTCGGGCTTTTGACTGGATTGTGGTTGTTTGTAGTACAGCTTTGGTACTGGAAATGCAACTCGCATCGCGCGCGCGTCCCCTTAGACAGCTGTGTTCCAACAAAACGTGATGTGACTTAGCTCTGCTGCTGTATGGAGGGTTTTGCGGTGAACAATTTTGGGTTGCTGTGAAGGGCATCTACTTGGGTAATTCAGACATGTTTGATGCCTCGACAAAGCCACTTCTGCAGCAATTCCCTGCGCGACGTGTGCGTTTCCCTGTCTTGGCACATGTTTCAAAACATGATGTCGCAGACGCGTCTCACTGGGGATTCACTTTGCCTGCGGTGCCTTTTGCAGGCCTGGGTTGCCTTTCGCAGATTGACGCGTCACACTGGGGTGGGCTGTCTTTTGCGGGGGCGGGGTGACTTAAGGCGCTCACCTTGTACTACTACTACTACTACTACTACTACTCCTACTACTGCTACTACTACTATTACTACTACTACTACTACTGCTACTACTACTACTACTACTACTACCACTACCACTACCACTACCACTACGACTACCACTACCACTGCTACTACTACNNNNTACTACTACTACTACTACTAGCCACCACCTCTACCTGCACTGCAACTGCTACTGCTACTGCTGCTGCTACTGCGACGACGATGACGGCGACGACGACGACGAGCACGACAACCTTCACCACCACTACCACATCACGAGGTCGCACCACAACAGCATTTGTATTGCTTCTACTACCACGTCCGCACTGCTGCTGCTACGACAAGCTCCGCCCTCCTTTTGCCAAAGTGGTCAAGAGTCCGTTCTTTGCTTTCGCAGCAGCCATGCATGACAAAGTAGTTCATTCACTGTTTGCGTCAAGGTGCAAGGTTCCCCTCCTCGGAATGGCCTGGAGCTGTTGTTGCCAGAGACCTGGCCGTGCTAATGTTGGAGTTCAGCGGTGTGTTGCTAGAACACGAGTCCTCTAGCATCGAAGCGCTTCTAGTTTCTTCCCACGCCTTTCAGTACATACCTATTCAAGTTACTAGCAGCAAGACTAAGATCAAATCGAGTTTTATGGAAATCTAGTTTTGTCAGTTGCTGCAGCGGATGGGTTGTCGACGTGATCACCGTCTCATGCGTTCACGACCATTGCGGCAACAGGTCTGCGTGGTTGACCTGCGCCGTGAGCCCAGAGCTTCGGCTTCTCTCTCCAAGAAGATTGACTTGATTCGGAGATGCATTGCAATCCCTGGACCCGTCATCCTCAACCCGTGGAGCATGCCGGGGTCCATGACCAGGCGCCGGACATTCGTGCCAAACGGGCGCCCCGCCCTCAGCATGGGATGGCGCCATCAGTGTCAACTATTCGCACAGGTTCCGAGATTTTTGGACCCGTCTTGCGAGCCTGAGGCGAAATGTGACCCTTTCTGCCATGTGTCGATTGCACGAGCAGTGTTTCAAGGCTCGGGAGGGCTCACAGCCGTGATCCGGTTCCGTTTCAGAGCTCTTCGGAGTTCCAGCAGAGCCGCTGCTTGTCTGTTGCGATCGTGGCATCTAGGTAGAGGCGAGACATTTACCATTCGAGTTCAGCGGAGGAGTCGCCTCTTCGCAACTGTCGTGTCAACGAGGTGGGCGGCTACAGGAGCTCAAGCTACGTCAGCTAAGTGCAAGCCACGTGGGTTTCAGATCCTTTGCGAGCATATGCAACACATATGGAATCTACGCCAGCATGGTCGGCTTGATATGCCAATGCCAGGCAGCATTGCCCGATCAGCCCTGCTCTCAAGTGATAGCCTCCAGAGTTTTTGTGGGAGCTTCCCGGGCTTCCAGGTTGCTTCGCGTCCTTATCACCGGCCTGGAGTTCGAGAATGATCGCTGCAAGCGACGTGCTCAGAGCAAGGCACTAGGACATGACATCTGGGAAGCCGACGGATGAGGACAATGACTGATAGCGTGTGGTTATGTGTCGCTCTTGCAGGCGCCTTCGCGAAGCGGAGGCCGAAGCGCTGAAGTCGGAGGACGAGGCGAGAGCGCAGCTCTGGCTCTTGCCTAGGAAGGCTACTTGTAGAGCCGTTGGAAAGACCATCGAAGCGATTATTCAAGTCAGCGCTTATGACAGAGTCTCATGCGTCGGCTTCATGTCAATCCACCGGAGGGCCTCATGAAATCCCGCATTCTGCAGGACGACGACCCAGATGATGAGCCGGGGCCAGAAAAGGGCGGGAAGTTTCTGTCCGACTTCTTAGACTTGGAGGCGACCGTCAGGGTTCACGAGGCATGTCCTTACGATGGTCTCCAGCAGGTTCAGCACAAAAGTTGAGAGAGAGAGAGAGAGCACGGAGAACTGCCTTATAGTGCTCGTGAAGATAGGGGGACCCGTCACAAAATATCCTGCTGATGTTTGTTTGCTACCCTATTCCGATGAGCTTGCATCCATATCTTTTTCCGGTGACGGGGAAACCATATCTTTTTCCGGGCTTTGACTGTTGGTGCTCCTTAAAGCCTCTAATCAGGGGTGCCCTCTGGACCCCGAAGCGAAGCGAAGCGAAGAGAGGGAGCACGATACTGACTGAACTTCGGCGTAGTGCCTGCGCGCAGGGGGAGGGGACCTCCTGTCCTCCCTCCAATTAAACGCCCAGCGAGCGAGCGAGAGAGAGCACGCTTCTGAGAAAGCACCCCCACTCGAGTAATCACGAAAAGTTTCACGAAATTCTTTCCTTTCAAGCCCATGACGAGTAGCCAAAGCGGCGCGGCGATCCGGCCGGGTTGCGGGAGGTTAGCTTGTGTTCGGGGTCGGGGGCTGGCAGTGGATCAACCTAGGACAAACCGTTTCCTCTTTTGCAACGGTCATATGCCGACCACTCAATAAAACAATGGGTGGTCGGGCGGGCCAATGGCCTGAGACCTCTAAGCCCGGCACAAAGAAAAAGAAAGAGAGCACGATATTTGCCTCGGGTAGGACGACAGCAAGCAAGAAAGCACGACAGCAGGACCTCGAGGACTCTGACGGGTCAGACGCCGGCGGCGACACTTTCCAGGCTGGCCAGGGCGGGTTTCAGCATCTTGGCCGGATCAAGTTCAACACAATACGAAGCAATCGCGGTTTATGAACATGGGCTTGTTACGGCTTGTTACGTGATCGGCACCAGGTTCGGGTTGGAGTAGGCTTGTTGGTGCATTTGCATGGGTCGCAGTCCCCATCCACGCTCCACATCGCTTGCAGCACGCAGCCTCGAGACTCTGACGGCTGTCGCTCGGAATGTCGCTCGAAAGAGTGCCTCGCCGCAATGCAGTGCATGTGACTGGCGGTCCCGGCCGGGCCGCCCCGACAAATGGAAGTGCTTGGCATCAGATGCTGGACAAGCTGGAGCAGATGCTCCGACGCGGCCTGAATCCCACCTGCATCCTGGCTGCAGTGCAGCAAACCCTCAGCTGACCTCGTCGTACCGCTTTGCTTTGCTGCTACTGCTTGATTGCTTGAGGTGCCACACTTACCAGCGCGATCAGCGCCTCAGCTGCGGATCATCAGCAGGTTGCCCAAAACCATGCTGTCGACCCGCCGAGTTAGACTCTACCATTCCAATGCCGACACGATAAGCATTGCACCATACACTGCCTGCAGGTGCTTGTGGAAAGGGCCACGAGTGGGAATCGGCAATCAGCCTTCTGGCACAAATGCCTACACTGCGCCTTCAGCAGCCGGGCTTTCTAGTCTCTGGACTCTGGGGATCTCATGCTGCACCTCGCCGAGGCCCAACGTTTACAGCTTCTCGGCTGCGATCTCCAGCTGCGAGAAGGGTGGGCAGTGGCAAAGGGCCGTGCCGCCGGCTTAGCCTGCTCATTTGAGTCCTCGGTACTTAGCACAAGCACTTCACTTGGCACCCGGATCATAAGCTAAGGGCACTCCTTGCAGAGATGCCTGAGAGAAAGATCGAAGCCAATGTCTACAGCTTCAGCGCCTTGGCGCATTGCCACTCCTAGAAGCAAATGCTCCCACAGGCGGATGTTGTATGACTCCATCCAAATTACTTCGAGCATCTTCGAACCAGCCGGCAGTTGCACCATTTGCATGCACGCACACGTGCCATAGATCACGCACCAGACTGCGGCGCGCGCATGACGGACAGGCCATAAAAGCATGAGCCAAGGTTCCACGCTCAGTGCTCTGGCTCAGTCCACGGAGCGACAGAGGGCCCTGAATTTGCTGGAGGAGATGCCAGCACGAGGCCTTGGCAGAAAGACATCTTAGTAAGGGTGCAGGTGTCAAGCCCCGGACGGTGCAGGTCACACTAGCCTACATTTGCTTGCTTAAAGTCCGGTGGGGTGCCAGGCATCGAGCCCGTCATCGTTAGCGGCTAGGCTGCCATTTGCGAAACCGTCCGGCCGAGAAAGTCAAAGAAGCAGTGCCGCAGTTATCATCAGCATACTAAGCACTCGCAACGGCTGCCAGTTGTCACGCTGTTGTTCCACAGTTTGCAGTTCATGTGCATAAGCTGAGAAGGGTCATTGCTGATTCCATGATTCTACTCGTGCGAGAAGCAGTCAGTACTTTTAGTATCACGGCGGATGTCTGCTTGGCTGTAACATGATGGTGTCAGTCTATGCAACTCGCACGCTTCAGCCTGTTTCTCTAAGTCATGCCGACACGAGTGCTCAGAGCACTGTCCCTTCGCCTGCTACTATTACCGAGCTGGTTCACATGCCTGTCCGCAACCCAGGCATCAATGCCGCACTGGATGCATGCGGCAAAGATGGCTGCTGGCAAGAAGCCACTCGGATCCCGAGTGAAGATTTTGTAGACATCTGTGGCCCTTCGCACTTACAGATGGATGAGCCGTGCAGCTAAAGCAACCGAAGACACAGAATCTAGCAAGTACTGTAGAAAATCACAGACAGCACTTTCGCAAGCCGATATCCTTCAACGTCAGGCAATGCGAAGACATGCAAGAACAAGCTCGCGCGCACGCACGACAACAAGCTGATAAAGGCCATGCGGATGAAGGAAGCCAGCAAGCGAGCGAGCGAACCAGCAAGCGAACAAAACAGCAAGCAGAAATGACCCGAATCAACAGCAAACACACAAGTTAGAAAAAAGCGAGAAGCAGAGAAGCGTCCAAGGGTGCAAGTCAGATAAGCGGGCAAGTAGGCAAGCAAGCGTGCAACAACCAGCAAATCAGCAAGTAAAGCAAAGCAGCATGCAGGTCATCCATTGAGCGGCACAGAAGTTCGTGGGAGTCGAACAGCAGTAAGGCCATGGCTTTGCTCCAGGGTGCGGAGCGAGACAGTCTTCAGCCTGCTGTGGTGAGCGTCCTGGCTGTTATGGCATGGTCCGACAGCCAGGCTCCACATGTTGAAGCATCTCGACAGAGAGTGATTTCAAGGTGTTCATTGTAGCTGATGGGCTGCTTAGTTCTCGCAAGGTTACAGCGCAGCAATCAATGCATGCGGAAAAAGCTCAGAGTGGGTCCTGGCATTGGGTCCCGGTCTCTGCAAGAGTTCCTGTATTTCCGTAAGACACGTGTTCCGCCTCGGTGCGGATCCTGATGCAAAGCCAAGCTGGATGACGGCCCAGTGAGGCAATGTGGCCCAGGCTGCTGCTACACGTAGGAAGCGAGGACTGCAGAATTGTCTGTGGATACAGCAAGCCGAGAAAGAACACACGAAATGTTCCTCAAAGGTTCATCAGCTTGTTGGAGCGCTGAGGTTTGTTTTCTGACATGCAGACACTTGCCATCACACCCAACACAATCAGTCACTCGGCTGGCTTTCTGGAAGCATGTCTGATTCCGAGCATGGTCGTGCGCATCACGTCGGAGCGCAGAGTCATTGAGCTGGCTCTGGGTTTGTCTGGGAAGGGGTGGGGACAGGCTACAGTGCCGCCATCAGCGCTTGTGAGAAGGAGTGGCAGCGTGCATTGGCTCTCTGGGAGACACTCAAATACTCTCCGCATGCTGAGGCAAGGAGAGAGGGTGGAGCCGTGGCGCATGCAAGCCAACCTTACCGTATCAGGTCGACATCGTGGGCTACAGCGCCGTGATTTCTGCATGCGCAAAGGGCTCGGAATGGTCATTGGCGCTGCAGCCACCTGGCTTAAGACCGCCGGCGACGGACTCTGAGGCTTGGGCTTGTTTGCAGCGGGGGCTCCAATTGCTCCAATTGGTCCGGGTTGTACCCGCTGCGGTCCTCCCGATCTAACCACCAAGTCTCGCCGAGAAGCATCTGCCAAACTGGTAGATGGGTGCGGCCACTGCCCTGGGTGAACTGACGCCAGAATCAATCAGACATTCTTTAGGATGATTGCTTCTTCGCCGCAATTGCCATTACCACTTACACAGCTTGCTGCAGCTGAAGATCGGCTTGCCGCTGAAGGTTCCTCGATGAGATGCGACGGGGACATCTTTACCCGAATGTAATATGCGGCTTGGACTTGGCAGTTGACCTCGCAACGTCGGGAAGAGGGTGAGAATTTGCATCAGTGTTGCGTTCTTTCTTGAGGTTACAATGCAGCAGCAAGCGCCTGTGGCAATGCACAGATGTGGGCGCAGGCTTTGCAAGTCCTCGCTGCCATGACGATCCTTGGCAGTCTTCAGTCCAGATGCGACAAAGGGCGGCTTATCAAGCTCGAGATGTCAGTTTTGCATGATTTCCCAGACATTCCTCCGAGACATCTCAGGTGGTTTCGCGTACTTCCCAGCATTCGGATACTTGCTCCAGACTTGGGACAGTGTACTGTATGCAGAAGAAGAGCCATTATGACCAGCAGTTGGGCAGGCGGTGCCCGTCAATCACACTCAGGAGCTACAACACCGTGATCAGTGCCTGTGATGCCGACAGGTGGGAGCTTGCTACAGGCCAGGAGGTGCACGGAAGCCAGGACAACATGGTCAGTATGCTTACGCAGATACGGAATGTTCGGCATCAGACAGACGGATAGCATGATAGCCAAGCCTCGACAAAGCACGTCTCCATTGAACAAGATGTGTTGAAGGCCTCTTTGCCCAAATGCAAGACGAGATCTTACAGCCGGACGTGCTGCTTGTCACAATACAGCGACATGTGCTGTGTCAGCTGATTATAGTTTTGGCTTGAGGGCTTGCATCCAGACATGGCTTCGAGAAGAGCGTAGGGAAGTGTCGGAGCCGTTTGGGAGCCTTTGTGAGTGCATGTTTTGCTCGAGGGTGCGCTTGGCCTTGGCACCGAGTGAGCTGCACAATGCCAGGGTAACCTACAACAGCATCATCGGCGTGTTTGAGAGGGCTGATCACCAGTGGACACACGCAGCTGCGCTGCTAGAGGAGCGTCAGCAGAAATGTTCTCAGCCCCGGCAAGTGATCGTGCACGGGTGTGCTTGCACGTTGCCTGCACAGTCTCTCCCCTGTGATCTCTGCTCAGCATCCCCCCTTTCGTCGGAAGGAGATGGCAGCCAGAGAAACATGGCCGCAATTCAGTGGCCAGCAGAAGAGCACCTTGCAAAGCTCGGTGATGGCGAGTCATACTGTGTCATACAGGACGTTGAGCCGAGCACCGCGACGTTCAACACTGCCATGAATGCCCACTTCAGAGACGGGAACAACGTGGAAAGCGCTCATGCCTTAGCATTGCACGCAACATTTGCGGGCACGTAAGCACTGCTTTGTGCCGTATGAGCGCCTACCTGCAACAACATCATTATACGATGGCAGGAAACAGCATGTGCATCATTGAATAGACTATTCGGTATGTGTGCGGGATGCTTATCAGACGAATGCAAAAGCAGTTGACCTGTAACTGTGAAACAAGATTTGTGCGGGGATGCCCGAGCTCAGCAAGGCACGCAGTACAAACAGACGTGCCAAGGTCTTTGCATTACTTCGGTCGATGCGGGCCCGAAAGCTGCGCCCAGATGTGCTGCCCTTAGCCCAAGTCCAGGAGCACCTCACGGCTTGAAGCATCTCCGCTGAAATTGTGGTGACCTCGTCGAATCTCGTACGCAGGTCATCAGCTTCAACACGGCCATCGGTGTGTGCGAGGCAACTGACTTTTACAGAGTTCCCTTTCAATGTGCGAGAGCTAGAGGCTAGCGATGTCAAGTTCCATACGACAGCGGCGCTCGAAGCGTGCATCCTGTGTCACCAGCTCCAGCTTCACGACAGGCTGGCGGTCACTGGCAGCAAGCCTTTCAGCTCCTGGAAGACATGAGGTGCGGACACGCAGCCTCATGATTGCTACGATTACTCATAATGACGACGCGAATGCGCCCATTACTCAAAGGCACGGCTGTCGTAAGGAAGTATGCAAAGCAGCACCGAGCACGTCCAGAGTCTAGTGATCGACCAGGTCATTGCAGCAATGGTACAGAGCTTACAGGGTAGTCCTGTAAATACATTTCCATGATTGGTCCTATGGTGACGAATGTTGCGGTAATGGTGCTTATGACCATGATTATTGACGATGATGGTCATGAGGGAGCTGCAGATTGTTGCTGTTGTGGCTGTGGTTATGGTTGTCGTTGTTGTTGTTGCTGCTGCTGGTGCTGTTGTTGCTGTTGTTGTTGTTGTTGTTGTTGTTGGTGGTGGTGGTGGTGGTGGTGGTGGTTGTGGCGGCGGCGGTGGTGCTGGTGTTGTTGGGGTTGTTGAGGTTGTCGTTGGCGTGAGCGTGGTCGTTGTTGTTGTTGCTGCTGCTAATGGTTGATATTGTTAATGCTCATGCTACGTCTGCTACGTAATGTTGTCGTTACTGCTGCTGCTGCTCCTAAGGCTAATGCTGCTGTTGCTGTTGTTTTGCTGCTGCTGCTGCTGCTGCTGCTGCTGCTGCTGCTGCTGCTGCTGCTGCTGCTGCTGCTGCTGCTCCTGCTGCTGCTGCTGCTGCTGCTGCTGCGTTGCTGTTCTTCTGTTGCCGTTGCTGTTGCTGTTGTTGTTGTTGTTGTTGTTGTTGCTGTTGGCGTGGTCGTTGTCGTTGTTGCCGCATCGAAAATGTGCGGTCAGGCACCTGGACGTCGCAGCCGATTTGGTAAGCTCCCAGCTCAGCAATGCCCAACCGAGCAAACCATAGCAAACCTCGCTGTCGACCTTTGGCTCCGCTTCTGGCGTGCCTGCTAGCGAGTTTGGAGCTTGCAGCCCGACCTCTAATAGATCTCAACGGTGCACCCGTTCTTGAGGTTACAACTGCCTTTTCAATGTCTGTTACGTGCCTCGATTGCACACAAGACGTGAGTCTTTTGCGAAGGCTGCTGCCTGCGGCGCATTCATATCACGCAAACAAGCCAGGAAGCCAAAAGAAGTCGTACATACCCCCTGGACTCAAGCGGCCATTTCGTGTCTTGCCGCGCTAGTTCTTCAGGCATGCTGCTTGCACCCAACTTTAGCTGCATCTGGCGAAGGCTCACGGCAGAGACCTGAAGTGGCTTCTAAAACTCTAAGAAAAAGAGAACTCCAATTTTCTCCAATTTCTGCGGTCTCAGCCAGTACCATACTTGTCGATGCGCATCAAAGACTCGTCATCTGATGGTGCCTTTGCGAGTCCTTGTGGTTCTCCAGGCGAGTGGCCAGTGGGAACGTGTGTTGGAAGTGGTGCAGGAGCCATCTCCGCGCATGCGTACAGTACGCCTGCTGATCCGTGACGTTTGCATAATTTTGCATATCTGTCAGTCGCTTTGTTTGAGCAGCATGTACTGGTGTCATGGTTCATGTTGTGCAGGACATGGTTGCGCATGGAATTGACGGCGACTCGGCCGGAACATTGGCGCGCGCGCACACCCGCACAACCGACTGACTGAATCACAGCCTCTTACCGGAAGCTGGAGGACCCTTCCCGAGCCTAGGCTTCACGGAATGCCGCTACGACCATCTCACCCAGGCGGGCAGCTCCTTGGTGCCTCACTTGCACTAGAGAAGCCGGATGAAGCCGGTGCTGCTTGCCGAGCTGCCCGAGTGCGAGGATTGCTTCAAGCACGCCGTCCTGATCTCATTGTTGACGAGCTTTACGAAGGAGCGTCAGATGGCGACTGCGCAGTAGCCGAGAGAGAAGCGGTGAGGTGGCGAAGCCTTGAAGCCGCGAGGAGCCTGGACGCTTCACTTACATCGACACCCATGCGGGTCGAGGAGTTTACGACTTGACCATGGACGGAGCATCTGGCTTGCATGTGGAGTTTCCTGTGTAGTGTATGCTGTAAGGCTCAAAACTGAAGCCATCGGAGAAGCAAGCGGATGCAGCTGAGTACACCATGTCTGACGTGAGGGAACCCCAAATGTCTCCGAACACTAAACTAGTCTAGAGGAGGCCCTTACTTGCTTAGGTCGATGCTGCGAAACATTGTAAAACGATAGGGAAAACCCAAAAACGATACCCCAGCTTAAAGACCCATAGCTCAAGACTGCTGTTTCGAACATTTCTGCGACACTAACACTACTACTACTACTACTACTACTACTACTACTAGTACTACTAGTACTACTAGTACTACTAGTACCAGTGGTGTTACTTCTACTACTACCTCTACAGCCAAGTGGGTGACAAAAAGCTATCTTGCTGCAGGTTGACGTAGAGAGACCAGCGACTGAACAGTGCATTTTCTGGTAAGCTGCTGGTGGTCTAAAACGATACCCCAAACGATACCCAAAAAATTGCTGAGGAGGCCGTTTACGGACCCATGCCCATTTGCTTTGTACAGACAGTGCTTGCCCGTGCCCATTTCCGATGAAGCTCGCGCAACACACTTCTGCTGACGAGTCCCATACCCCACGCACAAACGCCGTTCACCCTCTCAAAGAAGCATACTTAGGCTCCGCGTGGAGCGACTGCTTCATCTAGTTTGCTTGCATCGTATGAACCCATGTCAGCGCCACCGGTACTTTATTTAGTCTAACATGCGTCAAAGATACAGTCATGTGCCCAAAGTCTTTTAAAGCGCTAGGGGCAACCCAAAAACGATACCCCTTGTCAAGGCTCCGCTTCTAGGAACAAGAATATTGACGCGGCCTCATGTCTTGACAAGTCGTAGCCGTGTAGCCTTTGCTGAACCTGCAGGCACTGCAAGACAGCACGTTCGAGCACGGAATCAAACTCCTGGACCGTGCGCCGAACATGTTCTTGCCTCGGCAATCTTCTATGCACTCTCAACCGCCACCAAATGGATACCGCCCCGGTGGTTGTCAAGCTTTTGAACTTTTTATGTGCCAGCAATACAGAGTCCAAGAAAAGTTGGAGGGGGATTCGCAGGTTTTGGCAGTACGGCGAAGTGAGGTGCTTCACGTTGACCCAGTACCTCGCACAGTTGCGAAGCTACAACGGGGTCGAAGGAGGCTGCGGCTTTCAGGCTTTGAGCAGAAGTCTCTTTGCGCGAAACAACTTTCGGGCGTTTGCTTTCTGCGTAATGTCTCTGCTGCCCGTGACATTTGACACAGCCGTAGTCCCTCCCACCTGATGTCGGCCTGAACAGACACAGTGCTTTGTTCATGTCTGTTTGTCGGGCGCCTCTCGTGGTGGTGGGAGCCCCTTGCAAACGCAGGAGGACACCTGCGCCACTACTTGGGCTCTCCCGCCCTGGCCACCCGCTGGCTGAGACCCGGGGATCAGGCCAGCGTCCACCGAAGAGGGGAGGAATTTGACGGAATTTGTCAGAGTGAGAATTTACAGTAGGTTCCACAGCCCAGTAAGATGGAGACTGCCTGGGCTCTGGCAGCATCGGTGTGATGCAACATCGCAGGCCGTGTGCTTTGAGCTTGCCAGCACCATGTACGAGGACCTAGCTGCCCACCTGCACTGGAGCTGGGTGAACATGGGAGCGATGATGCAGCAAAGCAGCACCCTGCAGTAAACTGCAAGTCCTTTGGCGCCTCGTGCAGCTCAAAGCCCGCATAAGAGCTGCGTGCGCATGCTTTATATGTATATGCATGGATAAACGTCGTGTTTGTAACTCGAAATGCATATGTATATACACACCTGGAAAGTGTTCACTCGGTTTCTATAGGCCGCATAGATGTAAGCTCCATAGGGTCCATACACTACATACAAAGGATGAGTGAAGACAGATGCAGGCATGTGTTCGCGAGGGCCGCCGTCGGGGTAAGACTGTCTACCTACCTGTTGATCCTTGCCATCGATATTGTATACTGTGTATATATTTACATCTTCGTGGTGTGTGCGGGTGCATCAATGTACATATTGACGTGTGTGGACCCGCACACCTGCTCCGAGAGTCTTCTTGTGTCAGGAAAGCACTATTAAGACGCTGACGGAATTCGGCAAATCGTGCATGGACGTTCGAGTTGCTGTGTCTCGCAAGTCCCGGATCAGCCAGCCGATCAGGCACTGTTCTTCAAATCGGGCATCGGCAGCGGCAGCGTGAAGCTCATTGCAGATGCCCGGCAAGCTTGCAGAACACAAGCCGAAGCTTAGGCACCATGATGCTTTTGCGCAGACGCCTCTGGTATTCGTCTAAGGAAAATTCGTATTGGTGGCTTCTTCACCACATGGAAGAGGATGCATGTTCCCAAGTCTTGGCGACATCTTTGTCCGCATGAAATCATATATGTCACGACAGCACGTATTCCTGTGCATAGGCTTTTTTTGGAACAAGCCTAGAACTATGATGTTTTTCAGAATACGACGTCGGCCCTTGCGCTGGACAGGACCTGCAGGGCAACGGGTTGATCCTCATGGATCCCCCATACGAGCCATACAACGAGTACACCGCTTGGAATCTGTTCCTCCTGAGGCATTTTGTTTTTGGAAGCACATTGTGAGAGAGACGACAGAGGACGGTAAGTGCGAAAGGAAAGTGTGAGATGCAACTTTCATTGCCACAAAAGTAGCGATCAAGAAACAATCCGTTTTGGAGCTCACTGCTGTTGAATGTTGGTGCAGCGGAAAGAATTGTCGAGTTTGGAAGACTTCTGTTCGGGCAGGCACTTGCACGAATTCTCGCGCTTCTGCGTTGCTGCGCCTTGTCATGCAAAAGTAGGCAGGAAGCAGCACATGCACGAGCAGCTAGAATTGTAGAGCAGCGCCCAGAATGTGGCATGCCGCCACTTAATCTGAGCAAACCTAATGCGAACCGCTGTTTAGACTACTCCAGCCCAAAGTCAAACCCAGTCGTGTAGGGAGCCTTGGGCCGTGTCGCTTTGCCATGCGTGGTCAGGTGTGGTATCCATGCTTTACCTCCGACCAGATGCAGAGTCTTTACACGCAGCTTTTCCAGCTGGACAGCGGGCAAACTGTGCATTACCTAGCAACTCTTCCCTTGCTCATTCGTGTGCCAGGATGTTGGGGACTTGTTGGTGGTCGAATTCCAGCTTCTCAAGCCCAGTGCTTCTCGCCAGCAAGTCGAAGATGGAGCGACTCCATTCAAATCCGTTGACTTGTGCTCTGGGTTGTTACTGTACCCTGTTTCCATAGCCTGATACATACTTGAAAGCGAATGCCTGGACTTTCTTGCTTCTTTGATTCGAGGCGGCATCATTGACGAAGTCAGTGGTGGTGATCCTCCGCCCGCCCGAGGGAATGGACGCCACTCTGAAGCCCCTGCTGGCAGAACTGGGACGCCTGCTCCAAGGCCGTTGCGAATACGTTGCGACAAGATTGTTGACACAGAGTATCCGACAAGCTGCAAGTCCTAGCCCGAGCCTTGTTCAGGGCCTGGCACGAGTGCAAGCAGCTCAGTCTTTTGGCTCTCGGAATGGCGCGAGGAATCCAAGTGAGCTGTGCTGCGTCGTCGAAGCGCGGTCGTAAGGTCACGAGTAGATCGCCATGCTTTAAATAAGATGCATGCCGCGCATGCGGCCGGTGCATGCAAGTTCTTACTGTCTCATCGAGGCTTCTCTATGGAAGCAAGATACAGAATTTGCATACGAGGGGTGTGCAGCAAGGCCCTGTAGCTGTTCGAAGGATTGTTGAATTCGTTGTGAAGCTTCCGAGGCTGCAAGCTGTCAGCTGAGGGGAAAGAAATCGGAAGACCGGCATGGAGACATATCACATCCGATACGAGCCTTCTTTCAATTCCCAAGCGGTGATTTGGCATGTTTACTTTGGACATCCTCACTTGCTCCAAAGACCATGCTTCATAGCCGACTCTTTTCGCTTCTTTCGCTCTGCCGCGGTGGGCTCAGGACCAGGTAGCTATGAGAGGTAGTACTTTTACATGACTTTACGTAGAAGTTGCAAGGAGGAAGCTCCTCAAGCAGGTGAGCTTTGAACGGCACCCAGCCAACACAAAGCTTTGACTATGTAATCTAGATGCGCATGCCTGTAACTAGGCCGGCTTTCGTGGTAGCCTGAGGATAGAATACCCGGCTCCCATGGAAGGGGAGATCACCTTGCCAAAGGTTCTTTCAGAGATCGCCGCTCGGCGTCACCCTACTTGGAGTTTGCCGGTGAAGGGACCTCGTGAACAGTAATCTTCTTCGAAGGAGCCAAGCCTCAGAGAAACAACGGCTATGCCATGCTCCTTTCTTCTCCGGTTTTTGCAGCCGTGTGACGGACAGGAAATGCTCCGATTAGCAAGGGCACGGCTGCACTGCCTCCACCCAAACACTTCAAGAAGCTGGACAAGCTATTGAATGATGACCCAAAGTAGTAGTGCCGACAGAGCGCAAGGACCAACGTTGCAGAAAAGTGTAACATTAAGAATAAACTGCGTTCCTACGACGAAGTGCAGTGCTCGGTAGTGCAACAATGCGCAGCACAACAATAAATTCGCGAAGCCAACATGCATTCGGAATGGGTCCCACGTCTCGGCCATGTCGCAATAAATCAAAATACGTATTTCGAACCTGCAATAATTCCCATAACATGTCTACCTATAGTTTCGGAGCAGAGAAGCCACTTCAGCAGCAGGCCCGCCTGCACAACCCTTCGTCATAGTCACTTAGAGCTGCGCTCTTTTCCGAGACCTCTCCAGAAAGGGAAACCTGACAAGTGCTTGAACATGCTTGAATCTAGGAGACGCTGCTGACGAGCCCCAGCCGCAATTAAGGATTAGATTTGGACCGTGGGCGGGTGCCACGGTCACATATTGCGCTGATACTGTTGTCGCAGTTGGGTTAGTTGCTTCCTGTTCCAACTGATTTGCGAGTGGCGATCCTTGGTGACTGGTGCTCTCCTGAGCACATCTCAAGGGCGGAAACGGGCAGGGATGCTGTGGGGATGGAGTTGAGGGTGGGAGTGAAGAAGGTGAGGCATCCTCACAACTAGACAGAAGCAGCAAATGCAAGAGCAATATTAGTAGTGCTGTTGGGTACGGAACGCTAGGGCGTGGAAACCCTTTGTGCCCTGATTCTGGTCGTTTTTGGCTACGGTCGCGAATGTGACTTCTGATTCTGTTGTGTCTTCCTGTTGCTGTTAATTATGGCTCTTCTAAAGGTTGTATTCTATTACTGCACGTGCTATGTAAGTTGTCTTCCTCCTGGTGCTGGGAGAACCTGGGAGCACTGTGCTTTTTCATCTGAGGAAGCTTCTAGCCGTTCATGACGTTCATGTGGACTGCCGTGTGGCGAAGCACCGGAATGAGAGCGGCGAAGAATATCCGAGCCGCATACACTCGGACTTCTCCAACTACGCCATCTCGGCGGCTCCAAGCTTGAGCGGTGTGCTCCACGAGCCGCCGGCCCAAGTGGCCGCCCTTATTCACAGCGAGTCCTTGCCATCTATCGAGCCATGTCAAGTCGAACCTCGCTCACGGCAACGAACCGTTTCCTTCATTGAGGGGCAGGAAGGAGGCAAGAAGGACATGGAAGCGCCGGGAGACTTCACTTCAGAAGCCTCTGTGGCGAGCCAGCGCTTCGACATGCACAGCGCTTGGCGCAGACTCGGGGAAGAGCAGGTGTCCAAAGCGACTCGATGTCAGTCATCTTTGCCTTCAGATAGCTTGAACCTCAGGGCAAACGACGTGTCCCGGCAACCCAGCATGGCTCGTTTGTGGGCAGTAGTTGCAATTATCAGTCTTGTTCTTCATGCTGCGGCCTTGCCCTTGGCGGCCTTCCTGCCAAGAGAAATCCACTGGGTGGATGCAATCAGTCTGACGACAGCTGCTTGGCTGCACATGGACATAGACACAGCAGATGCCCAGCCTGCTGGCAGGATCTCTGTCTGGCCTGTCAGCTGAGGCATTGTTTTGGATGATAACACTGCCGCTTGCCGCATATCGATGGACTGGCCAGCTCTCGTCTTCAGCTGCGGCATTCAGAGCAGCTGCAGTTGAGATGCTTCTAAATGCCTTGCTGCTGCTGGCCTCTTGGCAAAACCATGTCTCCCCTCACTGTACATGTACTGTAGGTCGGCCTGAGGCAACGGTTCCCCCTGCAGTCGCACCGAAGCAGACGGGCACATTTGTTCCAGCAACGCTTCGATTGCACGATCAACTTTTATGATCTGAACATTGCAAGATTGCGTCTGAGGATCTGGGGATTCCACTTCCGCTGGAATTGAAGACGCTCTGTCAAGGCCTTCGCAGATGGAAGCTGTGTACTACAGATTGACTGTAACCTGGCAGTCTTCAACAGGCAACTTGTGTTCCATGCGGCGTTGCCGCTGCCAATTGCTCGATCATCTTCCATACAGTGTTGTTTCACTGTTAATTCCAGGCACGGCGACTCTGTCGATCACCCTTGTGGAAACGACCTCAGCTGGATTCCAGCAATCATGTTGAGCATGGCGTTGTCTAAGTAAGAGTTTCCCGCTGCAACAGTCTTGAAGAAGGCTCCAGGTGTCAGGGTTCGAAACTGTCGAGGTCTCGTACGGAATATTGTGGGTCTAGGTCACAGGACAGCTACGGGTCCCCACATGTTCGATGATGTCAGATGCATGTTGCGTGGCAGCCTCGCTTACTCCTTGCCTATCTGGCTGAACATCGGGAGGCTTGCAACTAACACGCCTTCGACATCTCCCAAAGCTGTATGCACTTTCGGGTTTGCCAAGGACTGGCGGGGGCTTGTACCGGCTGGTCGCTGACTGTTGCATATGTTTTCAACTTGCCATAAGCTATTGAACTTTGCAAGCGCATGGCTCGCATGCTGCTCACTGAAAACAGGAGCGTCCGCCGGTGGAATCGTCAGCACACTCGCGAAGCGCATGCCATAAGCATGTTCCTGATCAATCTGATTTCGCAGCTCGACCGCAGTTGTGAGGATGTTCCGGATCGTTGTGCTGGCTTCCACCTCGAACCCTGGAATTTGAAGAGTTGCTAATCTCCAGCTCAGGTGTGCAATGTTCTTACATTACACGACATGCCTTTGGTTTGCGGTAGGCTCCCTGCCTGATGGTTGGATTGCTGGGAGTGGCCTGGAAACATTGTCCGTGCCCGAGCAGTATCTGAAGACGGTTGAATGGGCCCTGTCCCGCATGCCTGCGTCACGGACGACTGAAAACATGCTCCTGAGCACACAGACAGAGAGGATACTTGCATTGCTGGCAACAGGCTTTGCGATTCTCATTGGTTCAGTTTTCACATCCGTTATCACCAACGAACTCTCCGACATTCGCCGGGCGCACCGAACAAGGTCTGAAGCGCAGCATCAAGTTGAAGATTACCTGTCAACCTTCCCAGTTTCGTGGGAGCTAGAGAGCGGCATGAGGCAATACTTGCAACGGAGTACACGAACCGCGCTGGTGCCAAGCAAGGAGGACATGGATAAAGTACTGCCGGAGTATTTGTACCGTGAGTTGTGCCGTGAAGCTCTCTCCCCGGTTCTTGCCAAGCACGAGTTTTTCGGGCGGCTGCTTGGTGGGTTTGTGGCCTTGCAGTACGACTTATGTCACAAGGCCTTGTCGGATTGGAACCTGTCGCCCCACGAAACCCTCTTCTCAGCGGGTCCAACGTGTACGAGCATGCTGATTGTGGCTCGTGGTACCATCTGGTATCGCAGCATGCGGGGGATGTCAACCGAGCTTGTGTCAAAGCCGGTTGTCTCGAGCAGCTTTCGACGGAAATCCTGGGCATCGATTCTTCCCATTGATGGCCGGCAGCCTTTATCTGCCTTACAGCTGGAAGCGGGAGATTGGCTCTGTGAGGCCGGCCTTTGGACTTCATGGCATTACATGGGAAAGGCCATGTCTGAGACGCCAGCCACCCTTCTGTGCCTAAGCCACCAAGCCTTACTCGAGCTGGTGTCCGTGCACAAGGAGGTCCGCAATAAGGTTTACATGTACGCACGCGTCTTCGTGAGGGAGCTCAACGACATGGAGGAGGATGAAGTGTCGGATTTGCGTGCCTTGGCTGCAGAAGCCTCATCGCATAATTCCGGAGTGGAAGTGCCCATAAAAGTCTTAAGCCGGAGAAAGCCGATGCTTTCCGGCCAGGTCTTAACATGGGAGGACCGGCATGCCTACACAATCGCTCCTGTGAAGCCGCGCCGTTATAGCACAATTATGGTTACTTGGCCGCGGCTGCTCCTTCTGAACCGAGTCCTAATCAATGCCGACTGACTTTTTCAACCGTAACTGGTGCACAGGTGAGGGGGCTATCCCAGGCTTGCATGTTGAACACGTGTCCATCATTGGCATTTTCCTGCATCTTTGCATGTGCGAAGCACAGGACTTTGAGCAAAGTCTTTTGTAATTTGCGGACAAGTTGCACTCCCTGCTGCTGCTACATACTTGTCTTGGAGCAGCACCAGGCGATGGCATGCGCCTAATTCATTGGCTATTGTTGCCAGCTTTTGAGTCTTTCTGTACAGAAAGTACTCCGGCCAAACCTCGACTTGCC